AAATTATTCGGGTCTCTTTTTCTTCAATTTTAGCACTAAGGAAAAGAAGGGAAAAAACCACCAGATAAACCAAAGTCTGCCCTAACATTGGCTGTTGATGGAGTGGGAGAGGGAGGAATGTCCTGTGAAAGCTGTTGTGGATACGGGGCGGTTAGTGTGGTGAGACCGGCTCTGCCGGGGAGCTGATGTGCTGCTTTACAGCGCAGTTTCTCTGTGAGCTCTGCTGGTGGTTCCCATTTGCGAGCATGTGTTTGAAGTATGAGGGGAAGGTTGCTCTGCCCTACCCTACCCCGCCATGACTGGCTGCTGGGAGGTGAAGGGGGCCGGGCCGCGGCTCAGAGGGTCGGGTGGAGGGGGGTGTGGTGGCTGACAGAGACGGGGATGTAATGACCATCTGGTTGGCTTCTTCATGCACACACACACGAGCACTTACCGCTCTCCAACACTCTCTCCCATGTACCTAGACATCTCCCCGACTTTTTACAGTCTTAGTTTTGATATGGGCCGTTCCTGTGCTGACAGCTCTGTCCTGGATTTAGAGCTTTCAGGATCTTGCTCAAATATGAATCCCAGAGGCTGGAGAAGAATCTAAGGGGCTGGATATAGTGGTGATAAGATCCTTCTCCCGCTCGGCTCAGGAGAGTTGGCCTAGACCGAGGTAAGAGCAGCAGGAGGGAAACTTACTGAACTTTTATTGTTCTTTTTCAAGAGAAAAAGAACCACTGCTTGAAGAGCTGGTGATCTTAAAAGCATAGCATAATTTATACAAAAGATTTTTGTTGATTAGAACTGTTTAAAGTTTATGGATTTGTGATGGTTTGTGGATCTGCAAGATGATTCACATTACATGTACAGAAGCAGCTCGGAGCAAATTCTTTTCTCTTGATTTGAAAAGTGCAATTGTTCAACACTTATTTACGTCTCCAGTCAACTTCACAGTCTCGTTTGTAACTGATAGATGCTTTGTGACGGAGGAACATGTGTGTTGTGTCTGGTCAGCACATGCAGGAGGTCTCAGCAATGCGGATCTTTGTAGGGACGTCACTCCTGTCCATTTGGTCTTGAAAAAACGCCCCTCTCCCCACACAAGGAGGCCAAACTCTAACTCTGCATCACAGCCATGTTGCTTATATTGATTTTCTTCTATCTCATTTGTTTGTAGCATTTTAAACTTTTTTTTAACACAGCTGGATTGCTTAACAGTTTATTTTTTATGGCCTTGGTTTTGTGAGGCTCTGTTGGTTTACGCATGTCTGTGATGTAAAGATCATTCATTTACAAGTGGAACATTTATGAAGGATTTGCTTAGGTACACATGACAGGAGCCCTGGTTCATACAAGGACACAACTGTCTGACAATCCTGCACAGGGCTGCAATTTTACAATATTACTGTTTTTTTATTTTTACAACATACAACAGATCAGGCGCTAAAATTTGACAGATTGTCCTTTGAATAATATTTGTGTGCACAGACAGAGCAATAACCCACTACATATTTTTTTTTCTGTCTGGCACAAAAAAATAAACTAATTTGTCTGCATTCAAGCCCAAGTGAGCGGGGACACACAACAGAAATTCTTGTTTCTCCCTCAAACTAGAGTCTGTCCTACATTGCAGAGCTAGCAGAGGCCAAGTTAAACACGGCGGGCCAGTCTAAACTGACAGAGCACTGTGTCGGTCTGTGTGTGTGTCCATCATCCACATCCTAGAGGAATATAGACAGTAATTCAGACCAGAAGCTGCTTATTTTCCTTATGCACTCTCTAAAGGGTTATTAATTCAAGTCTCCAGCGGCTGAACTTTATGGAGACTCTTGTTTAAATGTTGTTTAACGCTGTTCAAAAATGTCTAATGGCTGTATTTTTTTGTCAGCGAGTACGAGGTCCTATGAGAGTTTGTATTCCACCAAGTGATAAATAAAGTGCATGCCGCTGTTAACACATGATGTCGAGTCAGGCAGCACCTCCAGACTGTGTTCTCTAAAGGGAGAAACACAAATAAGGGATTGTTTTGGTCACAGATGGATCACGTTTTCACCCACTCATTCACTGGGACAGTGTTATGTCGAGCTAGTAGGAATATAAGCTTCATTGTGGCTTTTTTCCCCTCCTTTTTTTGTAGAAAACAAGCTTCCTAAAGAATTTCCTATGATTCGTGGGATGCTCTCAGATCTGTTGTTGACTGAAACCATTCAAGGCAGACCTCTTTCACCTGGCCTTCTGCTTCTACTTCCTCTTCCTTTGTGGAACAAGACATTAACATTTTCATACATGTTAGGCATCCCATTTTGGCCACAGTCTGGTTGCCCCCCCCCCCCACCGCCCTTTGGCCCTGTGTGGGCAGATCAGTCAGATATGCAGGCCTGCAGCTCCCAAAGCCATGTTAACAAGCACCTTTACAAAAGAGTGAGGGTCTGTTAAGCATTCAGGACTGCAGGGGTCTGGCAAGTGTGGGAGGAAGGCAAAGAAGGGGAGATGGGGGTGCGAAGGAGGAATTTGAAAAGTAATTTCGCTAACCATAGACCCTTGTTATAGGAGCTCTAAAAGTTAGTACAAGTGACCAGTTGGTGGAAGTTTGGTTCAGTTAGCTGGCTTGGTGCTAAGGTGTAAAGGAAGTAAAAAGGAAGCCGTGGAACATTAGCTCCAGGGCATCTAAAGCAAAAATTAGCATGCAGGCAGATGTGGTCATATGAGAGAGGGGCCTAACAGTGAGCCTGTATTATGTTTGGAAGCCTGGCTAAAGCTCAAGCCTGACATTCCTGGGAGCTATGTGCGGCTGTGTGAGACATCCCTGTCGATGCTCAGCCAGCATGTGAAAGCAAACATCTTTCTTTAAAAAAAAAAAGAAGCAGTGTATGACTGATTCCGTGCCCGATAAAATGTGAACCTGCGTATTCTCTCAGCTCCTAGCTGAACCTGCCTATAGTCATCTCAAACAAGGCCACATTTTTGCAGGTTGCATAGGTCTAATTTCCAAGTCAATAGATGCGACGAGAACAAGAGCATGTCTCTTTTTTCCCGCCCCGCGCTTTCATCTGAACACAAGTTATCTGGGTTTGATAGCTTCATCTGTCACGTGGAGATAACGCATCACATTTCCTGGAGATGAAAAGCTCACACTGGGTACTACCACAACCATCCCATTACTGAGAACATTGGAGGCATTTTAATGGAGCGAACTGTACGATCTGATGAAAACGAATCCACGACCAATTCTATCCATCACATTTAAAGCTGAATAGCCAGAGTTTATAGTGGCAAAGCCACAGTGGCTGACTTGTCTTTGAGGAGGATAGATCGACTTTAACAGCCAATAGCTGCCCGGAGTGTCCCAGCTCTGTTGGGACAGCTAGCTTTAAGCAGCCTGTTTCCATGTGTGCATTTCTTATTCACGCAGCCAGCCACATATATATCATTCTAGGAGAGGGTGTGCAGCTTTTCAGGCTCTTTCACTGTGTTCAAAGCCTGCACACAAAGTGTGTCTGGTTTTCTCAGCTGTCTCTCTGTGGCCCTCTGTGCCCTCTCCATCCACAGGGGGTGCAGGCTTCAAGGGGAGGTGGGCTAAGGACCAGGGCCGCCTGATGCTGGCTGGGCTCCCATTTGATCTCAGCCTGAGCCTTTGGCCTTTGAGAAATGAGCACAACTGGACACACATTCATCATCAGCGTGTTTACTTTGTCCCAAAAAGCTCGACTAACAGTTACTTATACGAAACAAATCAGTGCAGCAGCAGATTTGCTACACAGGCGTGAACAAATTCAGGTCCAATGTGCTCATCTCGCAGAGTAGAAAGTTTGCTGATCATTTAGACTTTTTTACTAACTCTCTTTTGCTGGGTTAAATGAGTAAAACTCTTGAATAATCAAGAGTTCTTTTGCTATATTGAGACTTTAGCATATCTCTTTATGATTCCAATGATGCGGACATGCTCACCCATAATGGTCACCTTAATTAGCCCCAAAAAAAACCATTAAACTTACTTTGGTGTTTTTAACTGTTTTAATTTGCGTCTGGTGAAAACCCCATTTATGATGTGTCACCACACACATAGGTCACCCCAGTTCCACTCTTTGATCTGCCTGGCCTTTTTTTTTTCCGCCTGCTGGTGCGTGGGTCGGTCTCAATCAAGCCCGACCCTCCCTTTTCAACTGCTTCACCTGTCTGGCATTGCTTGGCTCATCTTGAGGATAAAAGAGCGATTAGACGCTCACAGCAGCAGGTTGGAAAACAAACCGGTCAAAGAAAAAAAGGGGAGAGAGCGGGACACTGCCCATATGGTGGCCCTCTTCCCCGGACCAGGGCTGTGTTTACACAGGCCACAGGCTAAACTGATGAAACCCGGCATCAGATCCCATGCGGTGGCCCCTCGTGAGACAGAGAGTGATGTAGCATCCCGGCCGAGTACAACAATGACTCAGAGCTAAATTACACGGATGACGCGAGACTTCAAGATTTAAGAGCCGGTGTCGTAAGTCGTTCCTACTTTTATGTTTACGGCGAACTGAATAATGGCGCGCAGAGGGGGTTGTAAGCATGTTTTAACTTAACGTGTGTATTTACGAAAAAAGCTCGTTGCTTGTTATTTTCAATGTAATGAAATTGGACGTTACCTCATGAGGCTTTTGGAATTTCCTAATGGTTTCTACATCCGCCCAAACCACATGAGGATGGAGCATGTTAAACTGCCACCACAATAGCAGTGAAAGGGTGTAGCTCTCTTTATGGGTCTCTTTATGCAGTAAGACTCATCACCGAGAAGTTAACCGAGAGAAAACTTGCTCAGATACCATAATGAGCTTTCGAGGGAGTTTGTGGGCCTCACAAAGGAGGCGGCGATGGTGTGATTCAGCGAGTGGTTGCCTGTGAGTGGAATAACGCCGACATGAGAGAAACTGCTGCGATGGAGTCAGAACAGCGTGCTGCAAATTAACATTTTATCAATCTTATCTTTTTTCTCCCCCCTGTTCCTCTCCAAACCCTCTCCATCTTTTCCCTTTCAGTAGTAAAGAGATCCTGATGAGCCTGGTGAGCGCAGCAGGGCCAGCGGCGGGCTTCCAGGGCGGGGCACGCCAACGAGACCTCGTCATGGATCAGAAAGCCGGGAAGCTAACGTCCGGCTTCCAGCGCAGCTCCACGTCTGACGACGACTCGGGCTGTGCGCTGGAGGAGTACACCTGGGTGCCACCTGGCCTTCGACCCGAACAGGTACGCAGACAATGGAGCGCATGGAGCTGATGTTTGCGTCGTGTAAAATGTGTGTGGCTCTATGTGCTGGAACATGACACTATTCGCTTTAACTGTACTATCTATTTCATCACCCCCCCCCCAAATCACCACATGGTAATGAATAATGGTGTATCCCCTTGACACAGAACAAAAACAGCCCTGACCTGATTCTTCCACCCATTTGCCTGGCCCAGATAAATGGAATTCAGCACACTACAGAATAGTTCCACAAGTCTCCAGAAAATGGCACCTATGGGACAGAAAGCATATTTCATAAGAGCTGTATGGTGTTGTTTTTTTTTAAGGCCCACTTGTCAGCCTCCACCAGGCAGCCACTTACAGCCAGGATGTACTTTTATTCACAAATTATGGTATGGCCCAAGTCTGCTTGTGATTATCAAGGTTGAGGAGAACTTGGTGGGTCGAAGCTGTAGCCACTGGCAGCATCAGAAATCAAGGAGTTGTCTTTTAACAAGGGCTGTTAGTGGTGCCCACAGGGCAAACAGTGTGATGTGGCACTTTTTCTTTTTTTCTTTTTTTCCAAATTTGCGGCCTTTTTCCACTTCTTTTTCTCTTCTGCTTTCAATCTCCTTCCATCCCCTCTTTTGCTTGTTAAACAACACACATGGAAGCAATGAGGGGGTGATGGGCCGGGGGAGAGGAGAATGCAGCAACAGAGAGCCCCAAAGCCTAAACTTGCATGGCCTTTTGTTGTTTAGAAATACAAAGGTCAACTGTAATGCCTTTACTGCAGCCAATTCCCTAAATGGTCCGTGCATTAGGGGTCATCGTTCCAGTGTGGAGACACATCAGGCCTGGGTGATAGCAGACTGTTCCCCAGCCCTTAGGGAGCTGGATGAGGGGGTAATACCAGCACCAAGATGTGCATAATTTATGGTGGCGATGATGGGGGTGCTGAAATTATTGTCAGGGTAAATTGCCCCCCCCCCCACCCCCCACCTCCAACTGCCCAAAGCTGCAGGAAGTCCCACAACACACAAGACAGGAACATCCCACCTCTTTATCTGGCTGAATGTAATAGCACCTCCCCTCATAAAGTTTAGATTTCAGGGGCCAAGCCCCAAGGGGTCAGAAAGCCACAGGGCTGACAGGGTTGCTTTGTCGCGTCCCTATTGAGACGAACATATGAGTGAAAAATGCTAATTCTAAACTTTTCTGACCTGTTGACCTGTTTAGTTTCATACAGATTTGTTGTGAAAATTATTATTCCTAGGGCGCCCCGAAGAGCTGTGAAATGTTCTTTTCAAGATTATTATGAAAACAAAGAAAGCACAGACTCCTCAAAGTCTGTTTTCCAGACAAAAAGCTGTCCCAGAATATGTCTTATCACAGTTTAATGGCTCTCTGGATTATGGAGAAAAGACTATATGCTTGTAAATGTGAGGCCATTGTGTGTAGAGTATCCGTGCTAGGGAGAGTCCAGTTTCAAAAACATAATATCAACATAAATTCCAGGACGATCCAACACTGTTGACTGATTTTGAAGCTTGAGAATATTTCTTTTCTAGAAAATAGTTTTCAAAGCCTTTATTTTAAATCTGTTAGGGGACAAAAGCCATGGAATAAGTGTGATAATAAACTGTGAATAATTCCAATGACATGTAAACTATGATCCATCCAGGTCCAGTTGTATTTCTCCTGCCTGCCTGAGGATAAGGTCCCCTATGTCAACAGTCCGGGAGAGAAGTTAAGGATCAAGCAGCTCCTCTACCAGCTACCACCACATGATAACGAGGTGAGAATATTTCATGTGCAAGTACAGTACAACTCATCCCAGCAGGATGTATCAGTTACACCGCAGCTGCAGGGACTGATCTGCTGTACGTTCTGTTTGTGTAGCTGCCCGCCACATCTCTCACTAGTGCCCTCTCACTAGTGGGAGGCCCTGGCATTCACATCTCCCATCTTACGTGGGGGGGGAATTTTGTTCCACAATCTTGTAGACATGTAGCGTGGGCACAATGCAACTTTTGACGTGATGAGTTTACGGTGTTTGCCGGGAGCCCCCACCAGCAGGATTCCTGTCATAGCAGCGTTTTTTTACGAGGACCGCTCAGCGGGAAAGAGGGGACGCTGGTTGAAAGAGACTTTATGTGATGCCACCACCACTGCGGCACCAGAGTTCGACTCGGCTGTCTCTCCTCCTTTGTTGAGCATCCTACTGATTTCACTCTAAACACAGGCCTTGTTTGTGTAAACGTCTGCTTTCCCTCTTGTTAAGGCTTTGGAAACATAAAAAAAGCCCCGTTGTAAAAATGAGCTTCTCAGTCACAGACTGGGTGGGTGGAGATCTGCTGGGGTGTAAGCAGGGCAAGCTGGGGTCAAGAGTCACTTTTATTCCTTATGCTTTGATATGCGCCCTGTACTCCCACTTTACTTAAGTTTCTAACTCATCAGTTGTCAAAAATTCCAGCGATATGATGTTTCAAAGGGTTTTATATAGAAAGACCACATACATCTTTAGAAAAATAAAGGAGTCATTCATTACTTTTCACCTCATTTCCAAGGTTCGTTATTGCCAGTCACTCAGTGAGGAAGAGAAGAAAGAGCTGCACATGTTCAGTGTCCAGAGGAAGAAGGAGGCTCTGGGGAGGGGCACGATAAGGCTGCTGCCCCGCAACCTTCTGAACAGCATCTGTGAGCATGTAAGTTGTCTGCATCATTTCAGCTACCGTACAGAAAAAAAACGACTTTACTTTCGTCCTTTGTGTGTTCATGTCTTTAATCTAGTTTTCCTGTTCTAAAACCACTTTTGACTTACACTAAATTTAAGTGGAGCCATAGTTATCGCACGGTCAGGCCTTTGAATTAAATAGCTGGGGAGTAAAACTGATCTGCCTACTCTTTCACCTAGTATTTTCAGAGACCATTTAGCAGTTAGTATGTGCCCATGAAGCAATATTTAAACAGACTTTAAATAGTGTAGCTTTGAAAGACCCACACATCTGTTTCAGGCCATTCTCTTCTTATTGAATACTTGCTCTACTGAAATCATGAATCATTTGAAAAGTCAGTTGTTATTTTATGACAAAGACGACAGTAATTCAAGCATGTTTCTCATAGAATAGTTCTGATGCGCATATGTTTTAAAGCCAAATCTGTGCCTGTGCATAATTTTAACAATGTCATACTGTGTGCTTTAACCAACTAATGCTGTCTGTGGATCACAGTGTGGTGAAAGCATCAACGGTGGGGAAATGGCAGTGTTTGCTTCAAGGGCGAGTCCAGGGATGTGCTGGCACCCGGCTTGTTTTGCCTGCTCCACATGCAGTGAACTGCTGGTGGATTTGATATACTTTTACCACGATGGAAAGATCCATTGTGGAAGGCACCATGCTGAGCTACTCAAACCCCGCTGCTCAGCCTGTGATGAGGTAAAACCGCCAGAGTCGAGGACTGCATGGAGAAATGGGGAAATAAGCCCAAGTTTACAATCTTTTTGAATTGCAGTTGCATTTGTCTTCGCAGGTAAAAACGAAACAGACAAGTAATCTGTCATGTATGTTTTCACACAGATCATCTTTGCTGATGAGTGCACAGAGGCAGAGGGCCGCCACTGGCACATGAAGCACTTCTCCTGTTTTGAATGTGAGACGATGTTGGGTGGGCAGCGGTACATCATGAAGGACGGCAGACCATACTGCTGTGGCTGCTTTGAGTCTCTCTACGCAGAATACTGCGAGGCGTGTGGGGAGCATATAGGTAAAGATGATTACCTTTTCAAAGTTTCTAAGTCTGTCAAACAGCAAAACGCACATTTGCCGCCATTCTCAATATTTCCTCTTTTCCTAGGCGTTGATCATGCACAGATGACCTATGACGGGCTACACTGGCATGCCACCGAGTCCTGTTTCAGCTGCGTCCAATGTAAGAGCTCTTTACTCGGCTGCCCCTTCCTTCCACACCACGGTCATATTTACTGCTCCAAGGCCTGCACTCTGGGAGAAGACGTGCATGCCTCCGACTCCTCCGATTCCGCCTTCCAATCCGCACGCTCGCGCGAGTCCCGCTGCAGTGTGCGTTTGGGCAAGAGCAGTCGCTCGGCCGACCAATGCCGGCAGTCGCTCCTTTTCTCGCCCTCCGTCAACTACAAGTTCCCCGGCTTAACTGGAAACGCTGAGGACACCCTCACCAACAAGCTCGCAGACGCGTCCTTATCGGATGAGCATTTTTGGAGGGGGCGGAGCGAGGAAACCGAGGCTCTTGAGGACCAGGTGGAGGAGTGGGCTCAGCATGAAGACTACATGACTCAGCTGCTTTTAAAGTTTGGCGAGCATGGGATCTTTCAGCAAGCCAATGACTCCAGACCCACAGACTTCTGGGTCACTGAAAAGGATGCCAAAACAAAGCATGAATCCTCAAAAACCAGTAGCGGTGGACAAGGCGGTAGGTGTGGTTTGGTCAGTAAAAAGTACCAGGCAGACAAGTACTGGGCCCAGTCCCAGGATGGACTAGGGGACTCTGCATACGGAAGCCATCCAGGAGCAGCAAGCAGCAGAAAAATCCAGGAGCTGGAGCTGGATCATGGGTCAGGATGTTTCAATGGAGAAGAGCCTCAGTGGTACACAGACTCTTTAGAGTGCATCACCGATGAATTAAAGAAGACAGATCCGAGCGGCCACGATTCCATGGAGTCACTAGCTCTTTCTAATATTACTGGTGAGTAGACTGAACATGAGACGCAAGATATTTTTAAAGTATAATGACCTGAATGTATTGGCAACATAATCTAATAATTGTCTCTCCTTTCTAGGGGCTTCTGTATGCGGTGACTATATAGCTAGGCCTCAGGTATTCTCCCTGCAAGGTCTTCACGAATTTGAGGCAGAAGACTGTGAGAAAACAAGTAATATGGGAACTCTTAACTCTTCCATGTTGCATAGAAGTGATAATTCCCTTAAGAGTTTTGAACAGGAGGAGGAAGTGGAGGAGACTGTTCCACAACAGGAGATACCCTTGGAGGACAGGCCCAAACCCCATGTCCCTGCCATCAGGAGGTCCCGTTCACAGTCTAGGCCCCAACAGGTCAAATTCTCCGACGACGTGGTGGACAATGGCCACTACGGCGATCTTCCTTTGCGTCAACCCCCTATGAGTGAACGGACTCGACGGAGAGCGTACCACTTTGACGAGCAGAGCCAGAACATTCAAACGAGTCACCATAATCACCATCACAGACGGAGTCGCAGCCGGAAGTCTCGCTCCGACAACGCTCTGAACATTTTACCCAAGGAGAGAGCGGCAACGAGCCACAAAGTGGACCACAGAGGAAGCGCCCTCGGACCAAAGGGGCACCGACCCTTCCACGGCCCGCAGCCAGACTACAGGCTGCAGGGACCCGGCACAGGGAGGTTCTTGGGGTTGTATGCCGATGATGATGACTGGTGCTCTACTTGCTCTTCCTCATCCTCTGATTCTGAGGAAGAGGGCTTTTTCCTGGGTCAGCCCATCCCTCAGCCGAGGCCTCACAGACTCTTTTACACTGGTGACTTGGCCAGCCCTGTAGCAGGAATGCCATCTCCTCCTTATGACCAATGGACCAAGTCCAAAAAGAAAAAAGGCCACAAAGGGAAAAACTGTATTATTTCATAGCCTTTACTTTCCTGAGCTTTGTGTAATGCTGCCGCTCACACCTGTGACTTTTGTTTAGTGTTTAAAATACAGTACCAAGTTGCTTGCTAGTAAAGGCTTTGCAGCACACGGTATACCAAAGTAGTTGTGTAAAACACAATTCATATGACTCTGTGGCATTGCAAACTACCGTTAGAGAAACACGTATTTATATATTAATAAAAACAATTGAAACTTGTTTATTTAACAGTGTAGGCATGATGTAGATTTGAAAACACCCAAACAAAGAAAAAGAAAGAAAAAAAAGCGTTATTTTTGTATCATTGACCTGCTTCGTTTTGACATGGCATTAACATTAAACTGTTAGCAGTTTGTCTAGGGCCACTTTATATGGGTAAAAGAAATAAAAGACAAATCACCTGTAACCCAAGCTCTTTAAATATGTCGGCCTCCAGGCTTGTGTGGCTAACATCAAAGCACAGCGTGTGTTACATTGCTTGATTGAGCAGTTTATTTATGGGTCATGCTATTGTAAGCAATGCAATATAATCTGTATAAATGTACAAACTGGAATATTAGGCCAAGATTGGTGGCAATTGTAATAAAATCTCCCCCTACATATATAGATAAATCAGTATTTGTTTTATTTTTCCATGCATGAAGATAGTATGTACATACAGGAAAGTAAATTACATACTTTTCCTTTTAAAAACTCTTTATTTACAGATGTTCAGTAATGATTTAAAAGATTTTAAAAAATAAAGAAAAAACAGCATGTATGTTGCCTTTTACAAACCAAGCAGACCTGTTATAACACTTGTGTTAATTGGACATGCAGCCAAAGATGCAATTAATTTAACATTTGTTGCGGAACAAATCACCACAAAGGTTAAATACTTGTCGTATACGGTGTCAGGCTCTCTGCCTTGGGTCTGATCACCAGGATTCCACCATAACGACGATCAAGCGATCAACTTGTTTACAGTTGTCCCCTGAAAGTAAGGAAATGTAATGGTTTTGTCCATAATTCTTTGGAGAGAAAACAGACGATTGATTTTAATAATCAAGTTTTTAAAAAAGTAATATTCTTTTAGTTTTAAAACCTTTTTGGTTTTACACATAATACTATATGTATTTTACTGAAACAATATTTGTTTAATCCGTTATCAAATCTATAGGGGGTCCATCCCCCCCACCACTAATATTTTAAGATAAATCACTATTAGACAACACTAAATAATAATTAAAAAAAAGTTAGAAACTTTGGATACATGGTTAAATGAAGCCCATTTTGACAACTTGTTCCACAGTCCACGTGGTCACTTCAGCACTGTGCGGTGTGCAGATTATTCCGGGCTGTCTGCCTGCTCTAAGATCTCGTCCAGCTCTGTTATGAAGCTCTTCAGGGCGTCCAGGCAGCGCTGTTGGATCTCCACTAGGTTCTCATCCAGGGACGCTTTCAGCAGGTTTTCCAAACTGGGCTCCTTGGCCACCAGCATCTTCACGACTGTGCGAAACGTCTCACAGTCTTGCCTGTAATGCTGCACATCAAACAGTCGGATCAGAAAACATGAGCATTACCTACCACACAACCAGTCTAACCGTGCTGAGGAACAAAGAAACGTTTCGGATAAATTACAAGGGGATCTGGATATCTTCTCTACCTAACTCCTCCTTTACTTTAAAGAGTTATTATTTTATGAGTCATAATTAATGCTTATTGTTGCCTGTTTATTTTTAGCTAAATGGGCTTCATACATTTTGAGTTAGAGGTAACAAATCTAGGTCAACACGCTGTGTCGGAGTCTCATTTTTATCTCTCTGCTTTGCACGACAGACACATGTTCACCACATACCATAAAGGCTTTAGTGTCGTTTTAGTGTCTAAACAGACTATACTTTTACTCAATAGGGAAACTGAGTGACAGACATTTGAAGACACACAAACAAAAATATTGCCGACGTGGTTGAATGCAAATAGCTGGAAAACACAGTGAGACCATAGTCTGAGGCTAGACCAAATCCTAGGACAAACTGGGTATAATCAGGCACATATGACAGAAAAACCCACATAAAGCACAGGCATGTCATTTACTCATTTAATGGCCCAAAGACCAACATTTTAACTGCCCTCACACAAGCACACACACACACACACGCACATGTGCGAACCTCTGTCAGACAGCTGTTTGAGTTCTGTGAACCGGCTCTAGTCAAACTTCAAACTTAATGAACCCAGCTCTGGTTTACTGATGTATTCCGCAAAACAGGTGTGTGAATGTGACTATATGAGCCTAGTCAAGGGCATGTCTGTCCACTAAAAGGAAAAGGGGACACGAGGTGTCAGGGTTGGTCGGCGGTGCTGGAGCATTCTTTCACACCCCTTCGCGACCAGCTTTCACATCCCTCATCGATTTTTACTGCCGACCCGAAACTGCTGTGGAGCCCTTTATTAGAGTTCCAGGTGCAAGCTCGCAACATCTTTATCACCAGGGGATTAAAAAACGCACAGCCCTTCATTGGAGATGCAGTTTTTAAAACCAACTATGACTTCATAAGTAGGAAGAGGTCTTGAAAATATATATTCTTTGGACGTTATTGCAGGGGAGAGAAAGGGATTTTTAAAAACAATCAAAATCAGGGACGGAGAGAAAGAGGGAGAGAGTTCAGATGGGTGGGACCTGAAATACACCGAAAAGGTCAAAGAAACAAAAACAATATGACATTCAACCTGGAACAATACAGATGGAAAGAGTTCAGCTCCTGGGAACCATCCTCTGTATTATAAGGAAAAGAAAAAAGGGTCCCGTGTTGTATCTACAAAGAATAAAGAGCGGATGTGTTGGAAATTTCTCAAAGAACAAGGATAAATTCCAGGTTTGTAAGCGTGTGTGCGTTGGAGCGGAGCTGGAGCACAGACTATAATAGGATGTCAAAGAAAGCCACCTTGACGTCAGACTCTGGTTTATGAATCACTGCTTTGAAGTTGGGAGGTTGGTATTTTCAAGGCAAGAAATGACAGGATCTGAACCAGAAGAGTCACATTCTCAGTCGACTTAATGACCTATCTGTGTTCAAAATGACCACCAAAAACAATGATCACATGAAGTGAATCTGGCTGAAGATGCAAAGATGAGCGCTGGCACAAAAAAAAAAAAAAGAACTGGAAGAGGAGCCGCGGGTTGTGTTTTAACTTAGGGTTTTCGGGATGCCAGCGGTATCCTGCCTTCAGGCCTTTTACCGGTTCTTGTCCTGTCTCAGAAAGAGACATCTCTAATGGTCAAATGCTAACAACTCCTGGCAGGACACAGATCATGCTTTTCATTTCAAGCTCTACTTGATATTTACAATGATGAATAAAAAAAAGAATGAGCAAAGCCTCAGGCTACTTTGGCTCTTCTCGTTTTATTCCTCTCTCACCTTGATGAGCAGTAGGATCCCACCCAAGTAGAATTAAGCTTCAACATGTCAGGATCCTGTACTCCATTCATTCATTCATTGTTACAGAACATGCGTTTACATATTTACTCTGGGTATGCTGCAGGAGGGTAAACTAGCAGGTTAGTGATGCTGAATGGCTACAGGAACACACACACACACACTAGGGAAGGCCAGTCAAGTCAGCTCTGACCGAAATAATCCCAGACTGTGGGAGATGTTTGGACTCACGCGGGTGCTTTCATGTCTGCAGATCTTGTCGAGCGAATTTGCGGCCCCACGTAATGACAGTCCTCCATGTGACCACAAGGAAGTGAGACATTTGAAACACGTGTGGCCAGCCAAGCTCAGGGTCAGCTTCCAGCACCGCCGCGCGCCCTCCAACAGCAGGGGCCGTTATTTTGAACCATCTTTGTCCAAAAATTTCTATCTAATGTGAGCGAACCTTGAAGGATTTTCACACCATCTCGCCAGAGGAGCAGACTTCTGCCTTCTTCAGCAAAAAGAAAAAGAAAAAGAGTAAAGGATTGTTTTGGGGGTTTAGGATGCGGGAGGAAACATGGGCTAATTGAGACACAAACATGTGGCGGATAGCCCTGAAACCAGCCCCCACCCACCCCATATCACTTTGGGGTTGATTATGTTAGCCATTTTTCCAAACAAAACCTTCCTCTGGATTTTTTTCCCCCAAGCTGCGGTCTTTGTTGACAGGGATTTTATTTTCACTTCATTATGTCCCTTACACTTTTTTAATCCACTTCAGAATGGCTTTGGAAAAAGAAGTCCCAATGTGAACTGTGAAAACTGGGGGGGGGGTTCCAAACTCCTGCATTTGTGTGACATGAAGTACACCATTGTACAATTCAATATTTTGGACTAACTATATGCAACCTGAAAATGAAAGAAAGTTGTTTTTTTTTTACTGAGCTTTCTCTTTTAACTGTAACAAAACCTTCCAGCGAGGTCCTGCCCAAATTCTTTCTTTGAAAAGGGAGCCATGAGCTGATCTTAGAGCCTGATACTGCAAGGCCACACAGGACGGACTGGGCCCCCCACTCCCCAAGAAATGGCAACGATAAGGAGCCTGAGAGAAGAGCCACAAAAAATGGACTTCTGCCCAAAGCGGATGTTTGTGGAGGTCCGTGTTGGAGTGCCAGGTGGGGGGGGGGGGTGGAACGGTCAGGGTTCGAGATTCTACACGCGGCTCTCACATGGCCATTTGGGGAGGCACTGCTGAAATGAGCGCTGATGCAGGCAGGGGTTCTGCATAATAAGGGAAGTAGGGTAATGACTTGAGGGCTGGTACACATTAGGGGATATTAAAAGAGCAATTTTAATCACTCAAGCTGCAAACCGGACCTCAGTGGTGGGGCTAATAGTTGAAATGGATATGTTTAATTTACGCTGATTGAGATGATGAATGGTCCTCTCCCAAAATCATTCCCAGGCACTTTAGTTGCATTGCATCGTTTCTGTGTTTTCGCACTTATTTCAGAATCTTCCTCTGTGGCCAGTACACGGCTCCACTGGCCAAATGTGCCGAGGAAGGCGAGCACACTGTTCATTATAAAAGTTGTTTGTTTTTTTAAACAGAACGTCATGAGCCAGGAAGTAAGCTGGCAGCAACAAATGTTAACACATCGAGGTCAAGGTAAAAGCTTTTAAGGCTCTCAGACTGCAATGTATCCAGCTTACTACAGCTTTGAGGGGCTCTTTCAAGCCGTTTTGCCCTGCCTACCAGCTGACCCGCCGTGTGTGTGTGTGTGTGTGTGTGTGTGTGTGTGTGTGTGTGTGTGAGAGAGAGAGAGCCTGGAGCAGATGCTGCAGCAAGGACACTGTGGGGTTTTCAGCTCCTCACCGCCTGTGGAAGCAGCTGAAAATGGCAGGGTAAGCAGTAATGCCAGGAGATGTACCCTGCTGTGGGTGGGCCGCCTGCATCCTTCAGGGCAATTCCTACCCGCCTTTAACGGGAACAGATAAGTGGCACTGTAGCCATGAAGGGGAAGGAACCAGAGCGACTCCGTGGAGCGGGCCACAAGAGGCGGGACAACTTTTCTGTTGATGGGTTTTTCTTAAATATCATGAGCAGCATGAGGCATATTTATACATCTTCAGCATCAGCTCGCCGCCTCAAAACACACTGAAGTCTAAAAGCGCGGTGCGGATGTACAGAGTTTAGCCTAAAATCTAACTTCAGTGGGATGACGGCAAGGATGAAGGAAAGATGTATTCTGCACAGATTCGGCCAAATGCGGCAAAGTCCGCTAACAATGGATGGACAGTCACCCCTGAACACACTGCGTAAGCTTTTAAAGGCTAAAATGTTTTCTTTTTACAAGCTTTTCAAGGTGTGGAAGACAAAACTAAAGGCGAAAGGATCAGCACACTGACAAATTTAAGTTAATTATCAAACTGTCTCTGAGTTATTGACTTAATTTAAGAAAGTTAGGTTTGGGTATTAGAAGGGTTTCTTGAAGCAAATATTTTTACCTTCTCAATTTCCTGAGCTTTAGCCTCGATGGCCTCCAACCGACGGGTCTTCAAGTCGTCTTCTGGCGTCTGTTTTGGCTCCGTGCTTGAAGCCGCGGCCTCCTCCGACTCCAGCGCAGATGCTGAAGAGTTTTCCTGGCGGGTCAAGGGTCAAAGGGTTAGAGCTCGGATCACCAAGTTTAGAAATGGGCTCTGATTTCAAAGCGGCTCAAACAGAGACAACCTCGCTCGTGTGCAGGTGCCGAGTTCTTGTTTGCATGTGTGTGTCATTATGCGTGCCGCAAGCTTGAAATCTTCCTTTCACCCTTTTTTTAAATATAAGTTACATTACCGCTATATAATCATGTAGTTAAAAGAAATTAGAGAACTTAAATAGACCCTATGACCTCGGGATAGCGGGAACAATTATACGACGGTTCGAGCGGGCTTCAGAGATGCAGATGTGGCTGTTTTGATGCAGATAAAGAAATCCTACGCCACGGGCACTGGCGACCGGCTCGAATTAAGAAGGATTCATTTGCCTGCTCGCATTAGACACGCAACAAATGCGATATGGCCAGATGATGAACGAAGCACGCTTTATTTACTGCAGATGTGGGTGGGATTCAAATCCGGTTGTTACCTTTGAAGCGACCGAGCCGTGGGGAGATTCCTCTGCAGAGCAGCTGGGGGTGTGGCCGGACCCCACAGCGGCTTTATCTATGGAGACGAGAACAACGGCGAGTGCCATGAGCGGTGAGCAAAATATAAGATGGTCAGAGCTTTAGCAAACACAAAAGGATTAGGTGATGGGAAAAAAACAATACAGAAAAAGCAGCGAGAGCACTGTTTTGACTAACTCTCCGTTCCTTTACCCTGGAGCCCCGGGCCCCGGCCTGGTGGGCCGCGGTCTGGAGCGCAGGCCGCTTCAGCTTCAGAATGCTCGGAGAAAGCTGGGCAGGGATCTCTGTTATGATTTACCCCCGAACATCAAACAAACGCGCACATATCTCTGAACAATCATGGAGCTGTGGCGTCGCGAGGAGGCAGGAGTCCATAAATCACAGTTGCTTGGTTTTTGTTACACTCGTCTGTTTGTGGCGGTTACGGAGTTCGGCGGGGCCCAAAACTGAAAAACAGCCCTCATTTGGGAGTGCGGCTCAATTTCTTTCTTTATTTTTTTTTTCTGTGGTAATCAGAGGTATAAATCTAAACTGAATCCCGCTGACGATGTGGTCCTCAGATGGCACTTTCACCAAGACCCGTTCCATCTGGATACACTGATACTGTGGTTGGATGCATAAACAAACAACTCTCCGATGGCCAGGGCCTGCTACAAACAAACAATGCAGAGACATGTCACTGGAATGGCAGCTCCTGCCCTAATGAAGTTGGGGGGGAACAACCCAGCATCAGAATTTAAGCATCAGAATCCCATGACTGCGCAAGAGGGGAAACCGACCTCTTCATTGTCTCGATTTCAAACAGAGACAAACACACACTTCCTAAGCAAAGCCGTTAGTTTGCATCCTCAAAGCGTGCCGTAACAGAAAACTGTGTTTGGGAAGCGTGTGTGTTACGAAGAATCATCTATCACAGATAAGCCATGACAAACTGTGCCAGGTACACATCCCCTGTCATCAGAACAATTGGCGTGGGCTGGAATACCCAAATCAGAACTCCAAACCAGCAGGAACTTCGAGAGTACGACTGTCTTTTCATTTTCTAAAGGGAATCTTTAAAAACATCTAAACACAAATTCCTTAGAGGATCCTAAACTTCTTTCTGTCAACTCCTTAACTGAACCAGCTTGATAATACTACTTAGGTTAGATGACTTGCAGAGGTTTTCAAAAATTTAATTTAACCGTCTGCTCACAGGCAAATCTAATTAAAGTTTCTGACAGCCAATAAAATGCAACAAAGTGTATAAAATAACAGCATTAAAGTCATTCTACAGACATGGTTAAGTCAGCCTAATAGCTACTTTCTCAGTGACAAAAAGGTCAGATTCTGAGCCCAAAGCCAAACCAGCCCAATAAACCAAGGGTAACCCCCCCCCCCCCCACTCCCCCCCCTGGCCTCTAAAAGTGTGTATGTGTGTGTGGTGTTTGTGTAATTAACGTCCTAACATGTTACAGCACACCCTGACCCCTCGCAGTACACGCCTCCTGCAGAAAACAGATGCCTCACCTGGAACGGCTTAATTCCTTCAGTCGTTTTAATTCCTTTTGCTTCCTCTGCTCTCGTTACCTGGTGTGCGCACCAATAGTAGCTTTTCTAGACAAGCGGACATCATCAGCACTTCCCCAGCGCTTCCATTGCCCACAAATATACTTTTAGCTCTGTTTTTTTTTTTTTTTTTTGGGTGTTGCTGTAGTTCAAAGAGGTGCTTTGTTATTAGAAGTCATAAAATCCATCAGTGCACCGGGTCAGATGGTCAAGACCATTAATGGTGGGTCTCGGTGCGCAAATTTTTAAATCAAAGACAGATTCATTCAGGGCTGACACAGGTTTGACTTTTCGGGGGCTTTTCTCAGCCTGGTATGGATTTTCTTTGAAGTACGTAAAAGACACACACACAGACACACACAAAAAATCTGATTTAGATAGCCGTGTGATCCCTAAGATACCTGAACCTGCTTTATTTAAACTGCAACGGGGCGAGCTAATCGTCCACATGGATTACAGTACTGGGGCATTTACAGGGGCTGCATAATGTCGGCCTGTTGTGACACGGGCTTTATTAAATCCATTAAGCGGAGCTGACGGACGTCCACAAAGGCCGGAGGACTTACGCTTTTGTTGTGACTGCGGGTTGCTGTGGCCTTTGTCCTTGTCAGGAGAGACGCTCTTACTGCTGGTGTTTGATCCTGAGCGGCCAGTGTGAGGCGGATGGGCTCCCCTCCTTCCAGGAGAGCGGTCCCGTGTGATTACTAAAGACTTAGAGGCCCTGTAGTCATCATGGACCTCTCTAATAAAACATAATACACAAACCCACAGATCAAAATGGCCATTCATGTCTTAAATTAAATATATGTGTATAAAAAGAAGATGTGTGGGCACCAGTGGGGCTTTTTCGCCCATTGCTGACCTATGAGGAGGGCCTGACCCTCGACCTCTCTTGCGGAAATGTTGAGCTCTGCTGCCGGTCCTGAAAACAGGGAAAATGTAGCATTACAATAAAGGCAGGAAATGGCTATTTTGTCAAGAGGTTTCCAGTTAATGCACCTGTAATATGTTAGAGCTGGTTCAGCGCACTCCAAAAACATTATCCTCATCATCAGTGGTTTAAAAATGGGTTAGATGCACATCAATCAATGACCAGTAAAAAATAAACAGAATAAACAGAAGAGAAAACTTCAAAACACATGAAATCAGATTAATTGTGGAGTTACTGGACAGTCATCGATTTATGGATCAGATACCAGCTTCCACTTTGGCACAAAGATTTGTTTAATCTAAACAAAATGGATCCCCTTCTGGCCATTCTTTGCTATCTGCCTTCAGTTACAAGCAGTTCCTTTTTCTGGGCCACAAACGCGGAAACATACAAAGTGTGTTTCGCACTACGAAAATGCAACAGTCACAGCACAACTTCAGACTCACAATTGCTTGTTACACCTAAATATCACAATAATCCAAACTTAAAGGCATCTGTGAAACATCCTTTTAGATCCGAATGTATTAAACCGCCCAAAGGCACCTGGCTGTTATGACCCCAGCCTGAACTCCAGACACATCTTGCACAAAAATCTCGCGCTTTTACGACTCTCGGCCCGTTTGAAGTAGCTGGGACTTTGCCTGCCATTTACTAAACAATAAATTACCTTTCAGGAGGTGAAACCTCGCTTCCAAATAAACTGAAAACTGTGGAAAGTGAAAAAAAGCCACAAAGACATGATTTATTTTGGGTTATTTACAAATTGTTTCATTCCTATTCTCAGTTACAAACAGGAAGATGGCAACCCAAACGTAAACGCTGAGAAAACTTCTTTTTTTAACTTTCTGAAGCTAACTACCACTCCAAGAGGTTTTACAACGAGGTTTTAATGGTTATGTTCCAATCCAACAAGCATTGAAGGAAAACTTTTTTTTAAACACCAAACATTGCTTAGGATAAGGTGATATGTAACTGCAAAAATACATACTGATGATTTCTCTTAAAAATAAAACAGGATATACCTGTGTGTAGGATGTGCATGTGGGTGTTTAACTGGAGAGGGAGTGGTCCAGCTGTTTTTCCTCTCAGGATGGGGTGAGGGCTGGGGGTTGGGGGTGATCGGCTGACTGAGTAGACACTAGTGCCCTTTGTCCCCCTTTTTTTTCTTAAAGCCTGGTATGATTCTTGGAAAGGGGGGTATCAGCCCAAAAGTTGACCGTGTGTAAAAGCAGAGAGCAAAAGACGAGCGGCTGCTCTTGCAGTTGCCGGACTTCGCTGCCCTGGGGGGGACTCACAACGCCATCAGACCTGTTGCCTCTCATTTCCAGTCCAGCTCTTGAGTCATATGGCACCTCTCAGCCTTCTTTCCCTGTTTCTCTTCATCGAGAATGACTCTCAATAGCTACCCTTCCATGTAGATCACTTCTATGGAGGCTTCAGTTAACAGGAGATGGCTGAATCTCTCAGGTCCTGTGTCGGGAATTTTTAGAGGTTTTTTCAAGTCTCTTAAGGACATCGATTTCAGAAACTCCCCCTCTGCTGATGTTAGCTTTTAGGCCTGACAGTTCTCCTGTCCTTCACTTTTTCTGTTTCTTCTGACACGCTGCACAATGTGCTGAGTTATGCCATGCGCACATAAAAACGACATTCTCTTGTAAACAAACTGCTTTTTGGCTCAGAACTTTTCAGATTTTCTATAGAAACTAGTGCTTTATGACAATGTACAGCAATGAGAGCTACGTTATTTACTATTGGGCAAAGAGCATCTCATTGGAAATCACGGTCAAAGAGCAAAACTCTGCTGACACCTAGTGGTCATTCTGATTCATTACAAAACTAACTAACTGCAGAAATTGTCAATCAAACAGCTCGGGGAGAAACAGCAAATTACCTTGAGCTTAACTGGTGCCTCAAATCATCTCTGCCGTAGCTTTGTGAAGAGTATGGGACCTCCTGAAATGAACAAAAGTACAAGTCATTTTTACTCTGGCTGCAAATGACCGCTTTTAAACCTTTTTCCACACAACAAGTTTAAGATAACAATCCCTGCCTTCGGGGGGGGGGGGACATACATTTCGGGGTGGCGGGGAACCTCTGCGAAAACTGTTGTAGTTGGGCTTCTCTTCAAAGTATCTCTCATTGGGTGGGTAGCCCTCCTCGCAGTGATATCCTCTTGCCTCCTGGTAATTTCGAGGGCCTTCGTACCACTGCTCATCGCCATATCTCCTTTCATGTTCTAACCCCTGCCTTGGCATGGAAGACCTCTTTTCAACGATATTGACAACTCGATGAACCCTCACCTGAAACGACAAAGTACCATAACTGACAGCTCATTATCAACAAGGACCCACCTTGGATGGGAATAGTTTGAGGATCATGACATTTACATTTCATGTCAACGTCAGCCATTAGCTCTAAATAAGCACCTTTCATCCTGCCATGGTGCATTAAGGCTTCAGACACCTTTTCTTACCTCTCTTGCATCTCCAGGTAGGAAATGCTCCTCGTACGCCTCTCTGATCGACCTTCGACTGTGCGGATATGCCACTTAAAAGGGTAAGAGAGAAGAGAAAGTAAGTTATCACATGTGTTCTAGGAATAGTTAAAATCAGTATAAACCCAGAAATGTCTTTGATTATGTCTAACAGTTACATAAAAAGTGTCCCTTATTAAACATAGACATTCATTCTGTGATCATACAGGTGATCAGCGGAGCTCCGTTGCTGGGTATTGATGCTTCCACCTTTCCAGCACAAGTGACTTGAATGTCTTTTTGGGGGTTTTCTAACAGGGTGGAAACAAGGCACCTTAGATTTGGCCCAGCAACTCTCATTTGAGGACCCCAACATAAAATAAATATCTTTATTACTTTTGATTCTGATGTCAGTAACATATAAGAACAACAGTCCAGTATAGTTGTTACAAACTTAAAATAAATTGGACTTACATCTAACAACTATAAAGAAGTTCAATTTCACTGGCTATGAAGATACTAGCTAAGAGAAAGGGAGTCACTCAGAAGTAAAATATGACTGGGGCCTCTACAGTTTGCAATCGATGTCTCCTCTTACGTTAACAGAGGTATCATAACACAGTGCTAAGCACAGCTTCCTGTTTGCATCATCCTTTCAAACTAGCATCTTCACTCTTTTGAAAGCTGGGGTGTGGGCTGAGATCTTTCTGAGAGTCTTCTCATATATGTGTGAGTGACAATTGCTTGCCACTTATTTAACTTACTGTTGGATCACTTTTTTAGGTTCTTGTATATTCAAGATGAGTCAGCCGGGAAGGGTGATCCTATTAAGAAGGAAAAGGGGTTAATCGTTTATCAGATCAACCTTGCATCAGCACCCAAACAGGTAAGAAAGCAAAGTAGCTTGAACGTGCACACATAGCGTTTCCATTTTTGAATACCATCAGTGCATATTTTCTTATCAGTAACAGATTGTTGTTTTTGTTTGAAATCAGTGCATTTTATTCAATTGCAATCTGCCTTAAACGCACTTATACTGTGCGAAAGCATCTTTCACATCTCACAGCATTAAAAAAGCTCTGAAATATTTCGAGCATCCTAGCACCTTAGGATATAAATAAGATTAGAGTCACTGCTGACAACACCTTGGTGATTTTTCGTTGTGCTACATGCTTTAATGGATGTTTGAAAGAGCTGAATTAGCTTTGTTGTTAGCAAAGCTAGCTGTGTAAGCAAAAGTACACGAGGAAGACAGTAGCCGCTCACCAAAATGTGACTTCAGTTATCCACCCCACCACGTTACATATTCTTCCTAATAGCTGGTACATAAATGTAAAGTAAGGGCCGCTTTTTGCTGGCTTCCCTTTTCGTGTACATCAAATGGAAACAGGAAGACTGCAGACCAACACACATAAACACACACAAGAGTGGCTCTTACTCTTCTTCGGTGTAAAACACATTTCCGAAAAGTGGCTTCGCCCTCTAGCGGTGACAGTAATAAATGCGCTACTATTTACTGGTGTTGCTTTGTCTTGCAGATAAATGAGCGGTCAGCCTTAAAAAAAAAGGTTGCATTTAGAGCAGCATATGTTGCTGTAATATTTCACCGTAATATGTGATGGAGCTTTCCAGGGTGTGCCCCACCTCTCGCCTCAGCTGGGGTACCCCTCAGCATCCTCTCGGCCCCAAATAGACGGTTTAGCAAAATGGATGGATGGATTGATGGATGGAGAAGATTGGACCAAATACTTCATCATGAGTGAGTGTATCTATTACTTATTTTAGATTTAATGTTGCATGTGCATTTTACTCAGACACCGAAGAGACGCATTTATACTTTCTAAATCTACTTAAATCATTAAACGAATTAATTTATGAATTAATCAGTAATCTCAGTTAGGATTATTTTTGGTAAAGCGGATTTTATTTGCATTTTATTATTTGTTTTGATTTACTTGTTCCCATGAAGAATTACCGGCTTGCATTTTACAACGCTATAAAATTTAGCGAGAGGCTCTCATCGGTGTTGTCACATTCATAGCTGTTGTGATTACATCAAAAGCCATTGGGTGAACGCGGACCACGTGATCATCCTTCGACAGGAGTTTCCACGACAGCTGAGCTGCTAAATGCCGTTTTTTCGCCCTTAATATCGTCCCCTTTCAACTCGTCCGAGACCAATTAATGTACAATGGGAGACAAAAAGAGCCCCACAAGGTAAAAACTTCTGCTGGTGTGTCCGAGTGAAAGCCTTCAGCGGGTCGTTCGTTAGCAGAGAGCTCGGTGAATGGATGAAGCCGTGTTAGTAAAGTGCTCATGGCGGCAGGCTGACAGACTGATATGGGGCAACTGCTTTGGGCGATGTGACGACTGGCCGTGCTACCCTGACTGGTCCCGAGTGAACAATACTTCCTCAAGTATCGCTTTTACCTATCTGCGTTGGGGTTTTTTTTTTTTTTTTATGGAGTAGGCACGTCTTGAAATTCCAATTTCTCGGTGTAAAAATTGCCACCGTCCACCTGTTTTTTGTTTTGTTTTTGTTTGAAGGCCAAAGCGGCAAACCAAGCCCTTCACCGACGATGGGTACTGGGACTGCAGCGTGTGCACGTTCAGGAACACCGCCGAGGCGTTTAAGTGCATGATGTGTGATGTCAGAAAGGGAACGTCAACTCGGTAAGTGTTTATGAAGCTGTTAATTTGTAACGACGAAAAGGCCGGCTGAACTACGCTCAGCTGTGTGGAAGCCGCTTTCACGTGGTCAGAAGAGCGTGACTCCGACGTTTACGGCGTAATAAGAGATTTAAGTACTCTCAGGAGCGGGTTTATCGTAGATACTAGAAGTCTAATAAATCATGCGTCTGGTGGACTGGTAGACTTTAACTATGATGTAGCTCTAATCATCCATGAACACGTTAATATATATATATTTTTGGTCCATGTCTTTTACTATTGATTTGCGTATCTTTTAGGGAAGCAAAACGTGTGTTATAACTCTACTTTAGAGACTTTGATACATGACCTGAGCATTTTTACGGTCGTGTTCTCGAATTATATTGCCTTTTGTTCTCGGTGATATCTTATCAACTTGATTCATATCTGTATCAAACGTAAACGGCCCATATCGTGCCCCTTTTTACGAATGTGTTAATTACGCTTTTGAATCTAGTTTTACGGGTTTTTACCTATACGTTTTTAAAAAAGGCGGAAAAAAGAAAAAGAATCTCATGTAGCCCTTTGCTACATTCAGTTTTGTATGCCCTGTCTCTTTAAGACGTCACGCTTGAACACTGCGGTCTTTGATTGGTCAGTCAGAACTCCATGGTTGGCTTTTATTGGTCCAAAGTGCTGCTTGCTTTAGCTTCTGGCTCTTTAGCCGCGTTCAGCCATAATGTGGCTTGGAAGTGCTGTCCGGTGGTGTTTGAGCTATTGTTGGTTAGAATTTGTCTTCAGTGTCAGCACGTGCTTCATAGTCACATGAATGAAAGAGTTGTGGGGTCAGGATTGTTGAGGTGTTCTCTTCTAGTCACAAGCTCTGTGATGATGTAGTAAAAAATCTATTTCTTGTCATACCTTTTGGTGAAGCCCTCAGAAAACCATACTCAGTATGACCTAAGGTTGTCTGACCAACTGAAGATGTACTATTTGTGTTTATACTTTTGGCATCTTATTATCTACCGAAATGGGTACCAACACACGGTATTGCAGTTTGTTTTTGCCGATAATGGCTATTGGAAGAGGTTCAAAAGAGGAGAGTATTCTGGCCTAAAGGTGAACTGACAATATTATGTCAAATGGACCCATTCTTCACACATTCAGTCAGAAATTTAATTGTGGGAGCTTGTTGCTCATCAGGCTGTGCACACACAATTCACCTGTACAAACCTGACCTGCACACTTCATGTTCTGTGATCCAAGTTGAGCTGTTTCTTCTCTTTGTGTCTCCTCCAGAAAGCCACGGCCTGTTTCACAGCTGGTTGCGCAGCAGGTAAATCAGCAATTTGCACCACCCACACATCCCAAAAAGGAGAAGAGGGAAAAATCAGAGAAGGACAAAAGTGACAAAGAGCCCACATTGAAAAAGAAAAGTTATAAAAAGATGAGGTAAGTGACTCGCGTCTTCGGTCGTACTGCTGGATTTCCACATCTGAAATATTGTGCATCCTCTAAGCAGTTGTCCGACCCTCTTTTTGTCCGTTTCTCTCACCAGGCCCAGGTTAAAAAACGTCGACAGGAGCAGCGCTCAGCATTTGGAGGTCACAGTTGGCGATTTGACTGTAATTATCACAGACTTTAAGGAGAAAGCCAAACCCACATCTACTTCAGCTAGCATTGCCTCGGCAGACCAACACAGTCAAAGTGGCTCCAGCTCTGATAACACTGAACGCGGGGTGTCCAGATGCTCCTCGCCCCACGGGGAGGGCTCCTCGGTTAATGGAGAGACTCACTAAAAGCTCACACGTCAAATCAGCACAACCCCTTCTTCTGCACTCCAAACAGCCTCAACCAGAGATTAAACTGCAACATGCACATTTTCTGAAATGATACTTTAAAGGCAACATAAGAGATGGTGTAATTTGGGGTTGAATTTTTCACTGCCTCCCATTATTGATGTCAGGATGTGTTCCTAATTCAAAGGATTCCAGCAGCAAAATCTTTCACGATGGACTAAAATAAAAAAACCACAACCGTTGCATTAAATCCTGGATGTAGGCATCACATTCAGGTGCTCCTTACTGCACAAAAGGAAGGATGGATTAAGAAAGAAATGTGAATTAGTCATCTCAGAATTTTTATTCTAAAAATGTGTTCTTGTTACTTGCACTTAATGGCATCCTGTGTTCATGATGACAACTTTAGCATTATTTCCATTTTACCATTATAACACTGTTGGTTACTGGCCGTTTTCAGCTCATTTTATGTCATTTGATGCAATAACTGTTCTTTTTTCTTGTTTTATGTGTCTTTTTTGTTTTTTTTACTGTCTTAACGTGTGAATACAAATATTGATCAGTCATACTATGTTAGCTTTGCCGTCACATGGTAGAGTCAAGCATGATTCAGTCTATAGAATTGTTTATATTCTAAAATTATTAATAAAATAAGTTGTAGATACTTGGAGGTTTCTTTTTTAATTTTTTTTTTGTAAGATTTTATTTATTTTTTAATGATTAAAAACTAAAATCTGTAAACTAAAACAGATGGATTAGACACCTAACCCTTCAACTCAAGTGTTTAGGGTATTTCAAATTAATTATTTTTTCAAATAAAAAAACCAAAAAACTCTACCTTAATTAGAAGGAACAATATGGAGGATAAGCCCAGTGGAAAGAATCAGAACTGGGCCCAAGTGTTTGCAAGCCAAGATGAGTCATGCCTTACCACTTAGTGCCAATGCTCTATGGAGAATAATTAATTGATTCATTTAATCAAAAGCTTTCTCAATGCAACATCTAACCACAAAATACTGTAATTAATTCAGGGAGTCCAGATCAGCGTGGAAAGGCTGAGGACAGAAACCAGTGTTGGACGTATGTGACATTTGAGCCCTGAGGTGGCACTGCAACGAAAAAGTACAAAAATATCAAGCCATCACAATTAGTGTTGTCACAGGTTTTGGAGAACCTTTGTCCTGCTTCAAAATACAGACATGTAACCTGAAGGTTTGTGTGAGCCAAGCACGATAGAACACTGGCTCATCTTAATCGGGCAGAAAGACACTGGGTAAGTGTCAAACTTTATTTGGGAAAATTAAATGTCTCCCAAAGCTGACTGTAATCACCTTAAAGTGGAAAATCCTGATTGTGTGATGGTATTGGATCCCATGAGGACGACTGGCCTTGTGGGAAATGTTTTATTTATTTGTCTGTTTAGTGGTTTTGTGCAGACCAATTAAGCTAATATATCCCTGGGATGTCTAAAGGTAACATTCTTAGTAACTTATTACCTCATAACTTTTTTTGTGTGTGTTTGTACTTGACTGTGGTACAGATCTATCTCCTCACAGCAAATGTGAGGTGTGTAAGGGGGAAAAAAATCAGAAATGTCAGCCATGCTGCTGGAAGCTGAAATCTATTCAGCAGTAATGTAAACTTTTCATGTCAAATTTGAAAAATTGATATACACGGGTTTCCTGCTTTCTATATTTTTAGTTTTATCTCACATAACCTTTTGATGATGAGTTGATGGACCTTGCCAAAAGGGCCTTGCCATAAATCTCCCATTGTCTCATGTACATGGATTTAGAGTTGTATCACTCTGGAAACACGTGTACATTTTCCAGACTGGATAGTGTGGTTTTTGCTTCCAGAATTTGACCACGTTAAATTGGATCTGACTGCAACACAAGCCCATCAAGTATCATCAACCCACCCCTATGCTTAACACTTTGAGAGGTCTTGCCCTCATTAAATTAAAGTGAAACGACACTTGTTTCCGCACATGCGCACAAAAATACACAAACTGGCCCACCGTCCCACCAACTGGTTACTCAAACGCAACACGTGCAGAAGACGTGGGCGGGGCAGAAGAGAAATTCACGTTCTCCTCAGCTTCCCCATAACACTTGCTCAAGGAGTTACGGTGGCTAGCTAGTAAACGCCTCACATGGCAACTAGTCGGACTGGTTCAGTGAAAAATGTTTCTGTAGCAGAGTGTTTCTGAAGCGCAAAATGCGATGCTATCTTCACGCTCTCCTCCTGTGCGTGGTCTTCACCCTCCTCTCTCTGCTCTATGGCTTCAGTCAGCTAGCCTCCACTTTGGAGGACGGCGACGAGGGGAGTGTGAAACATCACGGAGGGAGCGGTCGTGACACCGGGCACGTTTTCAGGAAAACACCGGGACTTGCAGGCCTTCGAGGTCGCGAGGAAGGGCTGGACAGGTAGCTTTTTTTTTGCGAGCTATGCGGCGTTATTTCAGGTCTTAATCATGAAACGAGTAGATTTTTGCTGTTAGCTGATGTTGTTGTCGCGGCTGAGTTGTGGGCAGAGACTCAAAGACTAGTTTACTGTCATATTAAGTTCCTGAAACACGTTAATTTGTGTAATTGCGCAAGTTAGCGTCCTTTACACGGCGACGGTGATGAATATATGTGCACTTATACACACACAGTTAGCCACCTGTTTTGCTAGCTGTGTAACTGCTGATAAGCTTAAGGTTAGTGCTTAGCAACTGTCACATTAACGTTAGCTTTAGGCTGGATTTAGAGGACAGCCACCTGTTAACCTGCTCCAGGAGATACTTGAGGTCTAATCTGATCAACTTCTGATGTTCTAAAGATGACTTGAACGTGGAAGATCCAAAAGACCAAAAGTGTTTTTTTGTGTCAGGTGTAAATCACTGTCAGTTTCTTACTGGAATCCCTATTGGAGACTGCCTGCTGATGTTTGTGGAGTGAACTCCTTATTGGAATCATCTTTTAGGTATGACTGATTTTTGTGAACCTCTAAAAGCAATTTTACCATTTTCTCCGATTACTTTACTGGACAATTTTTCATTTTTTTTATTTCAGTACTAGCCAGACTGTTGGCTCTCTGAATGTCTTTCCTGTGTCTAAGACATATGGTCATGAGAAAACTAAAGGAAGCTGGCAACATTTTGTACTTTTTCTGTTATAAACCTCCTTAATTTGGTGAAAAATGAGTTTCTGCTGCTTTGCACTTTTACTTCTAATTGCTCACTTATCATGAATTGACGTGTTATTATACTCTAATTATCAGCACAGGATCTTATCAGCAGACTTGTAGCATTAGTCATTTGTCCTCTCACCTTAATTGTGGTGAGATTAATGATAATTGAACATAATGCAGTCACACCCTTCCTTCCAGTGCAGGGTTTGCCAGAAGATTAATCGCTCAGGTTGTCTGAAGTTTTCAGTTTTTCACTGACTTTATGCTGACAGCAATTGAACCTGATTAGGGGCACAAGTTTTATTAATTTCCTAGTTAATAAAGTGACCGGTTTCTTTTTATTCTGATTTCTTTTTACGTCTGTAAAGTTGCAGCATAGAGCATGGGATGCACCTCCTCCCTCATTCTGATAAATCCTCTCACCCAACAGGGATGAGTGCCAGTCAGCTGAAACTGTTTTTAATTTTCTTTTCTTTTCTTTTTTGTGACTTATTTCATTCATCTGTCTGTGCTCTTGGTGTCAGGTCTGGCTCGGTTGCTAAGGAGCTCAGTGAGGAGCGGAGTCACCTGGCTGTGGTGGCCTGTGGGCCCAGGCTGGAGGAAACCCTCACCATGCTGAAGTCCGCCACTCTTTTCAGCAAAAAGCCGCTGCACTTCTACATCTTTGCCGAGGACGAACTTCATGACAGCTTCAGAAATGCTGTAAGTGCCACGGGGCCAAGGAGGAACCCCTTTACGCTGTTGTCCTGTCATTTCCTGCTGGGCGTCACTTGTTAAAGCGTTTGTTGGGCTAAGGAGGTCTCTTCATCGGCTTATGATTTTTAGCTCCAAAGTAAAAGAAAAAAGTTTTACAAAAGAATCTAGCAAATGTTACAGATTAAAGTGCAGTGTCTAACATGCGTTTACCTTTTTGTAAAGCTGGAATCATGGCCCCAGGCGGTCCAAGCAAAATTCAGCTATTCCATCTACCCAATCACGTTTCCCAAGGAGAATGCCAAGGAGTGGAAGAAGCTCTTCAAACCCTGTGCCTCCCAGAGGCTCTTCCTGCCTGTAGGTCCAAAACCGCTCAGTCACATAAACTGCAATAATTGTAATAGTTTTTTCCCCCCACAATGTTCATTAATGTGTTTTTTTTTCTCTCTCTCTCATTTCTAGCTGATCCTTAAAGAAGTGGACTCCTTGCTTTACGTGGACACAGATATCCTGTTCTTGCAGCCCGTGGAGGACATCTGGGCTCTTCTCTCTCAGTTCAATTCCACGCAGCTGGCCGGCATGGCCCCGGAGCACGAGGAGCCTCGTATTGGCTGGTACAACCGCTTTGCCCGCCACCCCTACTACGGCAAGACGGGCATCAACTCGGGGGTCATGCTGATGAACATGACGCGACTCAGGGAAAAAGTCTTCAAGGTAAAGCTCATTCAGACGGAATAAACTTTTGGGAGTTTGATTCACTGTGCTGCACCACCAATGTTGACCAGCTGATGTCACCCTTGTAATACGTTTTTAAATCTGCCTTTCCCTCTGAGTCCATGCGCTACAATCGCCAAAGGATTCATTCAGCCGAATAAAGGATTTGGAATTTCCTGACACATAATGTCACAAATACTTTCTATTGCTTTCTCCTCCCTCCAGAACGACATGACGGCTGTTCGGCTGCAGTGGAAGGAAATTCTAATGCCCCTCCTCCAGAAGTACAAACTCAATATCACCTGGGGTGACCAGGACCTTCTTAATATCATATTTTCTCATAATCCAGGCAGGTGCAACATCATAGACTATATTCTTTCATTATATGATATCATATATTTTGCAGTTTTTCCGGATAAAAATAAGCCGCACGTTTCTGACATTTGTTTCCAGATGAAAACATTGGTTTGGGGACTGTATTGACTTCTTACTTCATAAACACTGTTATTGTTTGTGTGTTTGTCTGTTACAGAAAGCCTATATGTGTTCCCCTGCCAGTGGAACTACCGTCCAGACCACTGCATGTATGGCAATAATTGTCAACATGCCGAGCGAGAAGGTGTCTTCATTCTCCATGGTAACAGAGGAGTTTATCATAGTGATAAGCAGCCAGCATTTCAGGTGGTCTACGAGGCCATCCGGAAGGTAGAAATGTCTCCCAGTTTGTTTGTTTTTTTTTGTCTATATATTAAAATAATAGAGTTGATTTAGATACAGTCGGTAGACAAATTTTATCCAAGAAATAAAGTGAGGAGGGATCCTTCTTAGAGTCCTCGTTCGGTGCCTCTGCATCCTTGAAGGGGCACTTGTGTGGGTAGATCAGACTAATTGTAAGGGTATTTGTCAGTCATAGTCTTTTTAATTGGCCCTTCAGGCTACTGCTCTTCTCTTATGGATGTTTCCATCCACCAGTGCTCAATCAATAACCTGTTAAATATTTCTTTCAAAGTGTTCTAAAAGCAGGCAACTGTTCTACTGTGGAAAGTTAAACGCCTGCCTCTACTATTTCTGATGTTTTCTTTCCGACGCATTACATTTTAAACCTCGATACAGCCGCAGACAACTAATGGAGTTATCATACAACAGGCTGCTGACCTTCCGGGTGTCGGCTGCCTTTTTGCGTTATTTTTTTCCAGAAATGGAAAGGTCCTGCGTGGGGATTTACTGATGTTGTCCCTCTGCTCCTCTGGAACAAGGCTTTTTTTTCTCCCTATCTAACAGCATTTGCAGTTTTAACCTATAATGGCACAACACCAAATGTAAAACCCAAGTTTCTATTCTCTGAGAACTTAGAGCCAGGTGGCACCGGGTCTGACTTTAACTCCCATTAGCCCCCGCTTCACCTAACGCAGCTTAAAGTCCTCATTAGGTTTTTTGGTTTGTTTTTTTTGTCACCGGTGAGCAAACAAACCAGCCCGAGAGCTCTCTTGTTATTTTCCCAGCGGCTCCCTTTTTCGATCTGCTTTTGTTGATTTCCGCACACTGATCAACGCGCAGGCAGCAAATGTGAGAGCTTGAGAAGATTCATTAGCCGGTCTCCATCCATTACCACCACAGGGCCGGGCCGGGCCACTATCAGAGCCACCGATGTTCTCAGCCATTAAGTAAACGAGCAGGCTTCATTACGGGGCACTCAGCCCTCATAGCTCCATCAGTCTCCCCCGACAGCACACACACACACACACACACACACACACATCTCCTACTGGACCCAACTGATTTTAGTGGGTTTGGGGAGTGCTGCTATTTGTCATTAGTAAGTACAACAAAAGCATACATAAAGTAGTTGTCTGCATGATGTAGGTCTTTGTTTTACCATTACTGTCTGAGGACAGAAGACCGGGGGGCGTTCACTGCTTTGTTAACTTTCCATCAGCTCTCTTTGCTCCCATCCCATTCTTCTGAGGGACAGCATCCCAAAGCTTGGAGCAGGCACTTGTGGAGAAAATTTGGATTTTTCTTTTTTTCCCCCAGCCTGCCAAGAGTTCCTTAGGCAGCCCAGCTCCCAAGGCAGGCTCTCAGAGCCAGCTGAGGAGTTTGCAATAAAGGCCACTACCATTACGCAGCCAAAGCCACTGAAGAGTTGTAAAATTTTTAGTGCTGATGCTAGTTTCAGGCATCATGATGGCTGTGTGGACAACGCAACAGCCACATCCACATAAAGATCAATAGGAGGCTGTTAATGGTACTTTATTGCCTGCTGCAGTGTATGAAAGATAATAAAAAAAAAACTGTGCTTTGTGTAACATAGTGCTCTGCCAACTAGTCAAATAAGACATTGTAAAATGGTGATTTCTTATATTTACGAGAGCAGTAAAATATTGCTATGCCTCAGTATAAAAAATGAAAGGCCCAGCTCTTTATTTCCATGCTGAATTTGACAAGCGTTTAGAATGCCATTAATCGGCTGAAGAACTTGAAGTTTGTTTTCTCATTCTTTTTTTTTTTTTCTTCCTCTGCTATTTGCTTGGTAGAAAATGGCGTACAGTGAGGAAGATTATCGGAAAGGCTGCAGCTGTAGCTCTCTCTAATGCTGTCACACCTCACTAAGCCCATTCTGGTGTACTCATGGTTATAGATATTCAACATCCAAACGCACTCTGAATTGGCAAATGCGAGTCAAATGAAGGAGGTTTATTATCTTGAACTGACAGTAACACAATCCATGTGATTTGAATGTGTGTTTTTTTTCTTCTTCTTCTTCTTTTACTGTTTTTATTGTAGCTTTCACAGCAGGCAACAGCTGTTAAAACACTTGGCTTTTCTTTTTATTAGACCTCACACTTTTGGAATGGACTCTGTACAGGGAACTGCCACATAGACTCATCTGCGACCCTTTGCTGTTTCGGGGTGTTTTGGACGCCATAGACGGGGACATGGGTGCAGCAAGAATGTAGTGGACTACAAAACATGCCAATTTCACGTTTTTTTTAGATGTTGGTCAGCTGTGACTTGCAGGGCTCGGGTGTTAAGATATTTTTTGACATACTGTGATTTTCCATATTTAAAGTCTCATATGTTTGAGACCAGCCCCCTAGTGGCCACTTGTAGCATCACACTGATGATAATTAGGCAATGGCACGATCAAAAAAACAAAAGAATTATCTGTAAATACACTCTACTGCATACAACTGTGGTGTGATATTTCTGTAGATAATTCTATGCATTATCTGTCAGACCCAAAATCTGATCTCCGTTTCCAGTTCTCTGAAATGAGAATAATGCTCGTGTCTCTCCTCATTCCAGTACCCCTTCAGTGAGGACTTGGAGACCTCTCTTTTTCGCCCACTGGAGGCGTTGCTGCAGACGACCACACACACCTACTGTGGCAGAGCCAGCCACTTGTTTACCAAGAGGCTCAAACGCAGCATTACGTCTGTTCAACAAGAAGCCACGCTGAAGAGATGACGCGGATCCCCGGCCAGTGCCTTGAACAGTGCCTAATGTCTCTCCGTTGGCTCGGAGTTCTCCTGTGGAGACCGCGAGCTGGTCAGCATGTAACGTGGGACCAACATTTGTTTACAATGATGCAAATGGAGAAAAGCGACCTGCAAAATGGGTTTTTAATTTATCTTTATTAACAGTGTTGGTACAATGAATTTGTAACTTGGTCGCAAAATCTCCTCTCAGTGGTGGAAACTCACCAAATCCTGTTTGAGCAGGAGAGGTTTAAGACTGGATTTAATGCCAAGAAGATGGACTCTTCCTTTGTCTGAGACAATCAGGTTTTTATTATCGTTTAGTTTTTAGAATTTACAATCACTTCTGTTATCTAAGGTTCTTTGTAAGAAAAAGAAATGTTCACCTATGGAGAGTATTTTATTTAGAGTTTTAATATAATTCTGCAAACTGGTTGTGGATTTTTTTTTTTTTTTAAATGAAAGACATTACAAAAAATGTTTTTTGTCATTTTCAGGTACTTGTTTGTAACTAATGAAATTTTTTTCTTTTTTTTTCTCGAACAAAACGGTTGCTTACAGCAGATCATTTCATCTTGTACATCTTGTATAATCTAATCAGTATTTATTGTTATCGGACAGCTGTGATGTCTTTGCTCAGAACTTACTTGTCGTTTCATATTCTGCCATTGACGCATTGATTGGTGCACGCTGACCGGTTTGAGTTATTCCATTTGTCTTACCAATAAAAGCATTTGCCTACAGCTGAGGACCTGCCTGCGGGAGCAGTTTGTGATCCAGCCTGCAATGTGAAAAAACTCTTTAGTTCAAGAGACCACTCAGTTGCTTTTAAAGTAGAAAATAAAAACATACAGGCTTATTTTAAGTGACACCAGAAATGAACAATTACACCACTCGTCTGCACTTTGGCAGATAAAGCTGTAATTAAGTTGACTTCACGCTTATGCAAACTAAAGTCTGCTGTATCAGTGATCATGACCACTCTGCATAGTGCCACTTGTTGCCCACTCATTCCATGCAAAGTCTGAGCATGAACCATAAATCCAACAAGGCGGCTGGAAATGAAAAATCAATGTGTGCAAGTGAGGACTTGAGAAAGCGTTTTCAGATGGTCAGAAAGAAGCGGATGTGTTTGGGCCGGTCGCCTCTGGCTTTTCATTTCAAAGGCAGATTGACAGACATGCCTAGAATAGGCGAGAGACCTGTGTGATGAATTTCAAACGGTCTCTATGCTAAGAAGCGTCCTGATATATCCATTTTCTTGTCAGGGTATTGCTTAGTGTGCAGTGAGTTGGGGAAAGACGCCCCATGTTTTAGGAAAGAATTATCCGTCTGCATGGCTTTTTAGTTACCTCTAAATCAAAAGTTCACAATGGGAAATGAAAATACTCTAGATTTATTTTATTTTTTTACTTCATTGCAGCTTAAATGTCTAATCAAAAACACAATCCAAGAACTTATCAACTTCTGGTGGAAGAAAGAAGTGACGTGGGTTGTTTTTACACCTCCTTTTTAATTGTGTACTGGAGGCTGTACAGGGGCGTCTCCTTATTTTGATTCATGGAAATAGGCTCTTCTTGATGTTTTTTCTTTTTAAACCTGCGTTAATAGCACTATAAAGTTAGTTTTCAACTTGTAAAATCACATTTATGGAAGTACGTGCTCGTTTCGCTTAATTTTTCAAGAAAAAAAAACGGTTTATCTCTCCTACGTGGTGGGAGATATGTTTGCAGACAAATGCTCAGTGATGTCTGGCATCTTTTAGCATGGCCCTTAGAAAGATGGATGTTTACAACTTTGAAATGCAAAGTGTTTTCAGTGTTGGGCGGAAAGGCTAATGCTGCCTCAGCCTGGTTTCACCTCCCCCTGAGTATAATGGTGATTGAGATCTCTTTCCCTCATGGTCCGTCAGGAGCTGCCAATGGATTATTCATGTTATTGTTTGCACCACTTGCCCTCTGTGATGTCCAATACTGATTTAAACTCCAGACATAAATTGAAACGGTCAGAGCCAAAATGGTCAAACGCTGAGCCAAAAAGGTTTACAAAGTCTGGGTTATGCAGTAATGGGAGTTTAAAGTCACCAGCGTGACTGACCATAGGAAATAAGTATTACACAGTGGATATTTCGAGTTTGGAAGATGGTGCAATGTGTTTTTGCCTAATGTAGAAATTATGAGCACTTCTTGGGAAGTATTGTTTGCACCCTTTTCTGCTAATGAACTACAGCGTATTATAATGGCTACTGAAAGTGTGGCCCGTCAGCAGACAGTGCACTCACATTTGAAAAAATTTACTTGTGGTAGTAAGTGGGAAAAAGTGATTTAAGTGATTCATAACACTCCACAACAAAAAGAGAGCAGGGGGGAGGAAAACATAATGCTTCTGCACATCTTTATTCTAAGTGGATGCAACTGCCATGAAAACACATTTTTGAAGATAAGTATTCAGCCTTCATGCTCTGCTTTGATTGGTCAAACCTCTGGATATCAAGGTAGGATCAGCCTGTGCCATACAGAAATGATTATCTTTATAATTAGTCTAATGGGTAATCCATCGATATCTTTTATTACAAATGACCCCCTCTACCTTTAACAGAACCCGGCCTTAAAGCAAAAGCTTTGTTTGGGCCTTGTCTTCCATAGGTTGTGGAAGGCAACTGGAAGTTTCCAGACCCCCATTTTGATAACCAATGCTGTTTAGATCGATTAATCAAGTTAAGAGACAATACACAGCACATATGACAGGACTTTGACAATTGCAACTGATTGAACCCTGTCCCATGCAGCTACTTCGCCGCTCTCTAACTCGAAGGATATCATTTAACTAGTGAACATTTTGATCAATATTACATTTGCCAACACTGCTGAGACAGGTATAATTGATCCGGTGTGTCAGCTTTCAAAACAATTAATGTTATTTACCATCGAGTATAAACTGTGAGTGGATCTCCCAGCATTATGCTAAGAAGGGAATTTGCCACTCTAAGCAGAACAAGATGAGTAATATGCATATGCAAATAAAACAAACGGCTTGCTCAATGTTTAAATCAATGCGGGACTCACATTTTGCCGTAAAATTAACGTCAGAAAAAACAATCAATGACAAGATGAGTGTAAATGCTTCTAATGCCGATTTATGTTTTACACATATGGCCTTCCGAGGACTGAGGAAGAGGTTAAACTTTTCCAAAAGCCTGCACATATCTGCATACACATTGAAAAGTGAAAGTTTTTTGTGTTGTGAGCTAAATCTTAACATGCCCTGTTAAAGGATAAATGTAAGATCTGCTGCACAGGGCACCATCTTTTAATTCTTGGATTACATCATGTGGATGGCTGTATTCTGAAGTAACAGTTTACATTTGAAATACTTTGTGTTGGTGATAAGTGTGTAGCCCAATGGACCTCCTTTCTGTAACCTCCTTAACTTAGTGCTCGATCTTGGATTATGATGAGTCTGTGCACTTGGTCTGTTGACTGTATCTGATACAGCTGCATTCTGGTGACATAAACTGGCAAAGTTTTTAGTTCCAAACGATTTATTGCAGCAGTTGTTGTCTCCAGGAGCACATTTTCCACAATAAAACACAAACACACACACACACACACACACACACACACACATGTAGACTCACTAGGGACAAACAATACCAGCTGAGGCACAAATACATTCTGGAACTGTGAGCTAACCCCAAACAGAAGGATTCTGACCCATTCCGTTAAGGATAGTTTATATCTCTAGTTTCTTCTCAGCAGCCCCAGTTTTAAGCCGACTCCACGGGGCAGAATACCTCCCAGAGAAAGGGGATTTGGACATTCTCCTTTTTTTGTTGAATTTCTATGGCAATCACAAGTTCACAAGTTAAACATCTGATCTGTTGATCAACTAACCTCACACTGTTAACTGCTGGATGCTGGACAGGATCATTAGTTGCTATTTAAGTTGAAAAAGCAGCTAAACTAAAAAAATTAAAGGATTTTCTGTTTATTTAAAAAAATCTGCATTTGGAATCTATCCATCTATCCATTCGTCCTTTTCTGTGTCTGGTTTGCTATAAACTGTTGTTACTAGAGTACAGATGGAACAACGCACCTACAATAACAGGCTCTGAACCTTCATCAGTAGGTATGCTCAAGACTATGCTCTTACCATATTTTCAGATAGATAGTTTTGTCTCCATTGCTTTTTTTTAAATGAGTAATCTCCAAAACATGTTTCGAAAAATGTCGACAAGAAGGATTAGCTACGGGGATTAACTTGAGCTGCAACCCCAGCACCTGCTGAGGCTGCCGCTGCTAGCTCACCGCTTCTCTGCTACCTTTTCACTTTTTATTCTTCCAGATTGCGTTGCTGAAGCATAGATGATGTGATTATAAAATCAAGATGATAAGATGATCGGCTTTATAAAAGGCAAAACAGAGTTTCATGTTCAAGGCAAACATGTTCTGAAGTCATGATCATTTCAAGTTCTGTATCAGGACTAATAAAGACTAATGAGTGCTTTGGCACATGTACCAATTTGGAGGACTCTAAAGTCAGCTACCATGATGGCGGATGTAATTAATTAATCAGGGGAAAAGATTTGCAAACAGATTAAAAAAGTGGCAAACTTTCTAATGTTGACCATTCAGGATTTGGTAAGTCCCATCAGTAACCCAGCACAGCCACACTCCGTGTGCCCCGGCTATCTCACAGTCCTTTTTATGTCTTGTGCCATTGGTGCAACAGAGAAAGACTTTACTTTATTCTAAAAAAACTTGGTAAATGGAGGAATTACTTTCAAATCCACTGGGAAGCTAACATAACTGATGCTTAAAATATTATTAGTAAAATCAATGCAGTTTTTATGTTTTCAGTCTTTTGACAGGTATGCACTGGTATGTCTTGTAGATGTGGTATCAGATTAGTTTGACTGACAGCTGAAGACCTGACACATATTGATCTGTGGGTTATTTTCTGTGTGCTTTGAAAGGCTGAACATGACAA